AATAGCAATGTTTTTGAAGCCATTAAGTTAGAGAAAGTCACATCGTTTCAATATCTAGGGGATGTTCTGGATTGTACTGGAACAGCTGAAGCTGCCGTTCGAGAACGCATACGTGCAGCCTGAAATAAATGGCATCTCCTTGCCTCTATATTGATGCGGCGTGACATCCCACTACCAATACGATCAAGACTTTATAAATCTGTGACACGTCCGGTGTTGTTATATGGTGCAGAAACATGGCCAATGACAACCAAACTGGAACAACAACTTCAACGAACCGACATGAAAATGCTCCGATGGATGCAACGAATTAGTCTGAAAGACTGTGGTCTACCGAATCCACCGAAATCCTGGGTCGTGCTGGTTTAGATGATATAAAGGATGAATGCCGGCAACACCGTCTGCGGTGGTTTGGTCATGTCAAAAAAAGTAGAAACAGTGCCATAACTTCTCTTGCAGATGTTGAAGTACCTTGCACACGTCCCAAAGGCCGTCTAAAGAAGTCCTGGTCGCAAACAATCGAGCAAGACATGAAAGCTCTAAATTTAAATGAAATGGATACAACTGATCGTCTAATTTGGCGCAAAAAGTTGATGGCAAAGAAAACAACGTCCTACCTCGGGGAACCGAGACTCTGGACGCAAAACGAAGATTGATTGATTGATTGATTGATTGATTGATTTTGATTGATTGATTGATTGATTGATTGATTGATTGATTGATTGATTGATTGATTGATTGATTGATTGATTGATTGATTGATTGATTGATTGATTGATTGATTGATTGATTGATTGATTGATTGATTGATTGATTGATTGATTGATTGATTGATTGATTGATTGATTGATTGATTGATTGATTGATTGATTGATTGATTGATTGATTGATTGATTGATTGATTGATTGATTGATTGATTGATTGATTGATTGATTGATTGATTGATTGATTGATTGATTGATTGATTGATTGATTGATTGATTGATTGATTGAAAAGTTTGGGATGAGTCAGTGTAAATCCTGTACAACTTCGATTACAAAATCTGAGGGTTTCGATGAAAACAAAAATGAACACGAGGAAGTGAAATTTCCTTACAGATCAGGAGTTGGTGCATTGATGTACTTGATGACGGTAACAAAACCAGATATTGCATATGCAGTTGGAGTAGCATCCAGAAGTTTTGAGAAACCCAGCAAGTCCAATGTAGCCCAAGTCAAGCAAATTTTCAGTTATGTGCAAGGCACAGCTGATGTCGGTATTGTTTACAAGTCTGGTCAAAACAATACACTTATAGCCTACAGTGATGCAGATCATGAAGGAGATAAATCTAGTGGAAGATCGACATCAAGTGTAATCTGTATGTTTGGAGAAAGCGTGATCAGTTGGTTTAGCCAACGTCAATCCTCAGTTGCGATTTCAACTACCAAAGCAGAAATCGTTACCACAAGTGAAGCAGCTCGTGAAGTGATATGGCTCAAACGATTGTTGAACGACATTGATCTAAAAAAAAGCCAGAAATTTTTGTAGACAATGAAGCAGCGATTCGTTTAGCACACAATCCAGAACTTTACAGAAAAACAAAGCATATCCACATTAGACATTTCTTTGTCAAAGAAAAAGTTGCAGAAGAAGAAGTTTCAGTTGAACGAGTTGCGACAGAACTTCAAGTTGCTGATGCTCTGACAAAACCAATGGTAGGACCAAGACTAAAGAATCTGATGTGTGCGATGGGTCTTCATAAAATTTAGGTTAAGGTCATCTAATGTTTTAAATAAAATGAGAAGGTGTTAAATTTTATGTTTTATATTAAAACATTATGATTTATGATATACATTTATTTTCTTTGGACCAAATGTTTTTTGCTTTGTATGTAACTTCACTTTTCTTTTTCCGTTGATCCGGTTGATAATAAACAAGTCAAGAACGTTGCTAAGTTTATTTTTCTTCTTTTAATGTCATTCAATATTATATCAATTAATTAAACGATCTACGTGACAAGAAATTTAACATTCCAGTCCAGAAAAACACCGTTTCGGTAAATGAAATTTTCTGATTTAGCACACCATGAAAATGGTCGGTCAAGGGAGCCAAAATAACTGAGCCGTCTCTAATGAGCGTCAGACCACCACGTAAGCAAACCAAAATACTGCCAGAATCTCGCGGGCCATAGGCACTTCTCAACTTTTGGTAGAATGATTTTGGATCATTATGGTCCGCAGCTGTTTGATGTTTTTGAGTCTTTTCCGCCCACCAAGATTCTTTCAGTTGACGATGCTTTTTTTGTGCCAGATTACGAATATTGGATTAAAATGTTTTCTTTACGCCGTTGTTCTTGTCAACGTGCGTGGTTTTCATGGTGTCTATTAGCTGACGAACCTCCTTGTCTTGATCATCGAATCAATCCTGATAGACGTTTCGCCAAAAGCCGATGACTTTTGATGCCACTTCATACACAGTCCGTTTGAATTTAGGTCATAGATTGTTATCATCGTTAGTTAGTGCGGTGTCCAACAAACGAAAAAATGATTTCTCGATTTTTTTGTCGCCTAATTTGGCAACATCCAACTTTTTAGTCCTAACAGCCCTGCGCGTTTTTTGGCAAGTTTTGCTTATTGTACTTCTATTGTTTTGATCAGTCTGTGATTTTACTAAAGAGTTGTAGTGCCTATTGCTCTGGTGATACAAACGTAGAGGAGCTGCCTCGTGAGGACGTATTCAATTAAATGATAGTAGTCCAAACATGAATGTTTCCAACTGGTTTTCTTTTTGTTTGCCTGTTGAAAGACTGTGTTGGTCACGACAAGATTGTGCTCCGTGCAGAATTCGAGCAGCATAGTACCTTTTTTTTTGCCAACACCGTTGTGTCTCGGTACTCTACGCCATGAACGGTACAAACGGTAAATCCAATTCCGTGTATTCTGGTTTCACCAGCTGGATAACCTTGGCAAATGAAGGCCGCCAATTTCACCAGATGTCAGCTTTGTTTTCTTTTCTTTATATCATTGTTTCAACCGCAAGTTGGATATCCAGTCAGCCCCGGTGTACTGACAGAATGGGCTAGAGCCAGCTTTGTTTAAACCACTTCCTATAGTTTCCTCTCACAATCAAAGAAAACAGTGCTATCTCTAAATAAGACTGCTGCTTTGTCGTTTAGGCAGGATACGAGCAATGCTGTAGCCCTTGGTTCGACCGTCACATTTAAGCCGCCCTCGTGAGGTTTGTGCACTCACAGGAATACCCTTTACCTGTGCACGTCGCCACTCCCTAGTTGCTGAGGGGCTTGGAACATTTTCAACTCTCACAAAAAATCCTCAGCCTTCACAAATGAGTGGAAGATAGTAAAACATGCTCGTGCGGCATGCTTCACTCCCTCTTCCCGCAGCGATCGTTGACAGCAGGCACAAGTGCTGACTTATCGAGGCAGGCGCAGCAGCTTGATCGAGGCTGTGGCCAGATTGGTGTGACAGAATCACAACTTGCCAGCTGCAGGTGCTAGTTTGTTGTTTCGCCAATTCTACGGTTGTCTGATTCAAATATTTCATATCCTCCCACAGATCAACCGGATTGCATAAATGTCAGAAGTGATTTTCTGCTTGGGTTTACTCCCATAGTCTTATCCGTTAATGACAGCAAGGCAGCGGAGGTTTGAATTCGGAGTTTCCCTCTTCTATGTAGATGGCCAGCCAAAGCTAACGACCACCACTTGCCCGAAACGATTGGTTAAGGCGCCAGTTACTCGCCGTCGCCCTCTCTTGTTAGTTTAAACAATTTCGCCACGTGAAGGCCAGAAGTAGGACTTGATTGACCGGGGTGTGACACCCAGAGCCAATGGGAATATTTTTTAGGAGATGGGCGTTTAACTACCACCCCACCCCCAGCTTAGTCAACTCATTTGAAGCACACACACACACTAAACTACACGCACACAAACACACACACACCACGCACACACATATATATATATATATATATATATATTTATATTTATATTTAGTGTTAAGCAATCATCTTTAATACTAAAAATAAATGGTAATAATGTGAATAAAATCACTTAATTTTTTTTAGCATGTTGTAAAACGTAAAGTAAAAACAGTAACATTGACTGATTTTAAGTGTTTTTTAATGTATTTTTTATTTAGTAGTGATAATAAGGTGAAATAATAATGCAAGAATTGAAAATTATTTTCATTATGTTTTAAAACATAAAAATAAAATAATTTTACTAAGATTAACAATTACATTTACTCATTTTTTAAAAGTTTTTTTTAAATATTTTTATTTAGTAGTTATTTATTTATTCATTTATTTAACAACTAACCAGAGGGCATCAAGATGCCTCTTACCCAGTCAGAAAAAAATGAACTAAATTCAACATAAATGGCAGAACAGAAAAAAAAGAAAATGTTATATTAAAAAAGATAGATACCACATGTCATCATTTCTAATATGTCAGTGATTTAATGCAACAAAAATCCAATCAAAACGAGATTAACATGGACCATGTATTCTATTTATATGAAATAGACCGATATAATAATTCAAATGGATAAAATTTATGAAATAAACGTTTTTATCAATTAACATACGTTTTTGAAATTAATGATAACTATTGATTTATTTTATATTTACTCATTTTTTAAGAGTTTTTTTTTAATATTTTTATTTAGTAGTTATTCTTCCGGTAGCATGTTCCACACTCGTACAATTCTGTTACAAAAAAGGTATTTTGATGTGTTATTGTTGGAATTAGATTCGAGCAGTCGTTTGCGATGTCCACGGGTTGATAAGTATGACGATGGGCTAAATTGATCTATTATATCAGTGTTGATGAGATTGTTTAGTATCTTGTACAAGAAACATAGGTCAAAAATCAATCTACGATGTTCTAGTGTTTGAGGTACGTTCAAGGTACGAAAGATAACGAATTGAAGGAATAAATTTAGTGAATCTTCTTTGAATGCTTTCGATCCTGTTTTACTGATATTTGTAGTGAGGGTTTCAGATTGGTGAACAATACTCCAACAGAGATCGAACATAGGTGCAATAAGCTTTAGTGAGTAGATCTTTGTCTTTAGAAGTGAAACATTTAATGATAAGGCGAGCACGGGTTGAAGCCCTGTGGGTGATGTCATTAATGTGCTGGTTGAAGTTTAACTGATTGTCGATTATAACCCCGAGATTTTTGAAACTGTCAGCAGGAGTTAAAACATGATGGCCAATCATATATTGATTTGCAACTGTAGTATTTCTAATTGATGGAAAGAATGAGCATACAGAGCACTTGTTGGAAGAGAGCGGCAGTTGCCACCTGTTACTCCATGCTGTGATTTTGTCGATTGCCTGTTGAAGCTGATCTAAATTGGATGAACGAGCATATAATTTTATGTCACCAGTAAATTGCAGCGTAGAAACAGAGTACGATGAAATGCAGTCGTTTATATCGTTGATGAAAATAAGAAACAGAGTGGGTCCTAGAACGCTTTCCTATGGTACACCACTGGTTACAGCGATGGAAGAAGATAACTTATTTTGAATCCGGACGAATTGTGATCCTTCATGTAAAAAATTGATCAACCAGCAATATAATTTACCAGAAATACCGTAGACTTGTAATTTGCAACCTAGCTTGGCATGTGAAACGAAGTCGAAAGCTTTTTGGAAGTCGAGATAAATGGTATCGACAGACTGAAAACGAATCACTAAGAAATTTGAGGAGGTTAGAAGAAGATGATCTTGCCGGGAGAAATCCGGAATCCATGCTGGAAATGGGATATCAAACTGTTATCTAATAAGTAATTTAATAGACTCCTGTTGATAATTTTTTCCACGACTCTGCAGCATGAACAGGTTAATGATATAAGTCTGTAGTTGCTGGGATAGTTGGTCGGACCTTTTTTGTGAATAGGAGTAACAATGGCAGTCTTCCATATCGTGGGTAAAAATCCATTTTTAAAAGATCAGTCAAAAATGTGACATAGTGGGATAGCTAAACTTGAAGCGCACATCTGGATCACTTGAATATGAATTCTTCAAATCTCGAACAGCAGGATATACTACATGTGGAGTGAAGCAAATTTCTTCAATTGATTTAGTAATACGGAAAGGCAAAGAACAAGTTAGTCCATTATCTACTGTGAATACTGATGCGAAATAATTATTAAATGTGTTTGCTATCGTCACGGGATCACTTGATATACTATTATCCTCAGTTTTCAAGCTGTTGATTTGGGGCTTGGAAAATAATTAGTTGTTTACATAGCAATAAAAGCTTCTGGCAATAAAATAAAATTGTTATCAAATTTTACGGTAGAAGTTTGCTAATTCAGAACATTTTTTTGCTGTCATCGTGTAGTGATTTTTATCATCTGAATTTGAGCTTTGGTTTCCACTTTTTCCAGAAACGTTTAATTTTGTATGATTGACGAAGTGATCTAGGTACTGATCGTTTGGACAGTAGACTTCTACGACGAACTTGAGGAACAAAAGTTGATAAGGCATTGCTGGTTATTTGCTCAAAGATATTCCAACATGCATTAACATCAAAGCAGAATTGAAAATAAGAATTACAATCTATTTTTGAAAAAGAATCATTTAAAAGCTCGTATTTATCTCTGCTGAAATCGTAAAAATATATTTCGTTGTTAGAGTTGTCATTTATTAGTTTACCAATGATGCAATTATGATCACTTGTGGCGAAAGGACATGAAACCTCAAGTTCTTATAGCAATCTGGTATCATCAGAAAGCATCAAATCTAAAATGTTCTGACCTCGAGTAGGTTGGCCTATCAGCTGATAAAAGCCCAAATCGTTAAAAAGTTCAATGAAGGAATTATAAATTAAATTGTCTGGTGAGGAGTAGTTAGTCCAATCGATGAGGGTAAGGTTGAAATCGCCCAACAGACAGTTAAAATTTCCTCTGCATAGCTCCTTGATACATTGAACGCTATCACTCGCATATTCCTCAGCCAACCTGTCAAAACCACCACTGCGGTAGTAGGAGATGAAGCGATAAACCGATGATGATGATGAAGAAAGAATATAAATAGAAATTATTTCGATATGGGAATATTTTGTGGGTACCTCTACAACTTTGAAAGGAATCGAGTTATTAATTATGAAAGCCACACCCCCACCACCACATCTTCCATCGCCCAAAGGGCTTTGGTCATCGTTTCGATCATAAGAGTTTCGTTCATTTTAGATACCTGTTTTTGACATTCCGATACGCTGGTACTTAAAATTGTCATTGTAGTTTGAAGTTGGCTCATGGAGTTAGTGACAGCCTCGGACATGCTTTTGACTGCACGTTTGAAGCTATTGCTGAGAGCTTCCATGCGAATGACAGTAGACTCAAAAATTTGGAAATTATGTCGCACAGCGTTCTCTGATCTGTTATAAGTGATATTCATTTGAGAAAGTAGACTGAAATCCATTTTGTAAAAGAATTTGTAACGCTTATCAAAGAATCTCCTATATGTTCAGCTTGTTTTTCCTTTTTTCAACAGAGTAATGCTACAATTACATCTTTGTGCCCAACATTATGTTAGACAACTGGACATCTTTACTAAACTTTTTTGAAAATCAAAGTTCTGTCAGAAATGAATATGGCGCCAAATGGGCTGGTTTTCTCACAAAAATGACATCATTTCATAATTATTTTGTGTTGCGCTGTTCGGTTCTCATATACGATAAATTGGAGACTAAGTCGAAAGCTTTGCTGTGTCCAACACTGTCTATGTCAAAAGTACGCATACTCCTATGAAGTCTAATGCTATCGCTTCAACAGAACCGATCCGATGAAATCTTTTCGTCTTTTTGGTTAAATACCACTAGTGAAGCAAAAATATTAAATATTGAAGATCCAAGTTTACCAAGGCAGCGAAATCGTCCGAAGCGTTTTTACTGATGGTAACGAAAACGTTCATGTATTTGATACTTCGTAATTATAAAAAAAAAAACGTATTTAGAGATCGTAGATGTCGCTATCTTTTCACTTGACGCTAAATTCAATTCTGATGGTTTCAAAAAACTTGCTGATTTGGAATGAAAAATTTTACATGCAGCAACAATTGACAGCATTCACTTAAATTATATTGCTGAATTATATCCAGAGGTGTCGAAAGACAGATTACATTTACATTTCAATATGTTTCGCGATATTTGTAAGTAAGGAAATTTATTTATTACCTCAGTCGCAGATATTTTCAACGCTTTAAGAAACAAAAACGGACACGGTTTTAATTAAATGCTAGAAGAACTTTCTCGACTTATTAGAATATTTCTTACAATTACTTTCAATTAACATGCAGCACAGAAAAATCGTTTCCATCCTTCGGCGCTTAAAAACTTTTTTACCTTCAACAATCAGTCAGCTAAGATAAAATCATTTGGCCATACTACATTGCTATAAAGAACGCGCCCACAATCTTTCAATTGATGATTTATACAAAGAATTTACTTCTCGGAATGATTTGCGCAGAAAATCGTTTGCAACGTGACTGTATTTAAACTAGATTTTTTATGTTCGGGATATTTAAAAATAGAATTTTACTATTTACATTATATTGTTTAAACTTTTGACTTTTAAATTAATTAAAAATTAAAAAGAAGTTTAAATTAAAGTTTGACCAAAAATAATAAAAATTAAAATTTCGGTAACTTTTGAGTGTTGGAAATACAGAGATTATTGAAGTTAAAACATCGGTAGACCACTATTTTCAATTTTCAACTATTTGTTGTATCTTATTTATGATTATATCGGAACGCACAGATATAAGTCTATATAAAATACAGAAGATAAAAAAGTTTTTTCTATATAAGATAAAATGAATAAAAATAGTTAAAAACTTTGTTTTTTATATAAACAAGTTGAAAAATAATGGTAAAAGAAGAATTCTTTTTCTCTCTTTATTTGCCTTGGTTGTTTTTAAACGACCAGTCCCTGACTCTCACGTGGTCTGGTCAAAAACAAGCTGAAGTGATCATCTCTAAGAATTTAGCATCCATACACAATCAAAATGATGTGGGTGGGTGCGAACCGTCATGTTTAACGTCATTAGTTGACACCAAGACGTTGTAAACGGGTTTGAATATCTTTCGACACATCCTATGTTTATCCAACACTTTCATATCTTCCGGTTTAAACAGAGTCAAGTCAATTTCTTTCTCCTTTGGCGAATTTGCCAAAAATATCATTTTTAAATGAACTAAAATCTTTTATAACAACTAAACTAAAGAAAATTTGTCACAATAATTATTGTCAGAGAAAATCTATCATTCGACCGAGACCTTCTAGTCCTAGTGCTGTTAAAATAAACGGCAATTCGTTTACAACTTTATCTGCTATCCCGTTAAAACGCTTACTAAAACTAGTTGCATAATATATATCTATTTATGTATATATGTATATTATTGATGAAAATCACAGCATGTTGCGCTAGCTTCCTGTTTAGTTTTCGATTTTTCAAACGGTTGATCGTAAATCATTCTCAATTTACTTGAATTCAAAACCAAAATTGAACATCGCAGAAATTGCGCTTTATAAGCTAATTGATTGATTGATTCCTTTTAGCACTTTATAACATTATTTAAAACAAAAAATATTTTTTGAATTAAACAACAAAAACAACAAAAAGATTAAACAACAAAAAGATTGAAAAACACTAACCACTCGTGTTGTCGTATTATACGAAAAGGACATGAAATCAAACAATTAAGAAACATGAGTAAAACTAGAAACATTAGATGTACTTTGCAGTAAAAATATGAAAAACTTAAATTGATCCGCACTTTTTAGTTTAAAATTTATATTTAAAAAACAATAAATCGCGACTTGATTGTGACAGTCTCTAGTGACAATAGTATTCTTACTATTCTTGCTTTTGGCTTTTCCTCTGCTTTTTATATTGTTGATCGTACTAATCTCATGAGGCTGCTAAATCATTTTTTAATATTTTGATTCTTGTCTATCTTGGTTTTCTTCTTATCTCTATCGTTTTTCTTCTGTTGTTCTTAATAATTCCACTTCTAGCTTCTCTACCCTTACTGTTGGAGTATCTCTTTGGACCTCTTCTATTTGTACTCTATACTTCTGAACTATCTCATATTACTAATAATTTTTCTTTCACTAGTCAACTATATGCTGATGATTCTTTTATTTATACTTTTTTTCTTCCATCTAATCTCAATAGTGTTCTTCATAATCTATATCTATGTCTGTCTTAATTATCGCTTGGTCTGACTCTATGTGTCTTAAACTTAATCCTTCTAAATTTGAATTAATTTGTTTTAATAAATCTAGATTGATTGATTAATCAATTTAAAGTTTGTCTTTTCAATTTTCTTTACTTGAATTTTCTAGAAAATGTTCAATTTGTTGAAAACAAAATTATTTATGCAAATATTGAAAATAAAATTATTTTTGCAATTATTGATGAAAATCACAGCATGTTCGGCGTTAGTTAACTTCCAATTTAACTTTTCGATATTTCTAACGGTTGATCGTAAATCATTTTCAAGTTTCTTGAGTTCAAAACCATAATATTTGTTTGTTTTATGCATAACAGAACAAAAATGCTTTTTTCAGTATTCCTATACCATCTTTGGTGTTCAAATTGATATGTTGTGTATGTGCCCATATGTTCATGTATATATATATATACTCACCAGAAAACCAAGATAGACAAGAATCAGTAATATTAAAAGAAAGATGTAGCAGTCTCAAGAGAATAGTACGGTCAACAGTATCAAAAGCCGAGGAAAAGTCAAGAGCAAGAAGAAGAGTAAGATTACTATTGCCACTAGAGAGAAAGATATCATTGTGTATTTTGAGTAAAGAAGTTTCAGTACTGTGAGCAGGTCTGAAACCAGATTGAGATACAGGTAGCAGCAGTTAAAGTTTAAATAGGATGACAGTTGATTAAAAACTACTTTTTCTATTATTTTAGAGATGAAAGTAATATTAGTAACAGGTCTATAATTAGATAAAGAGGTAAGATCTAAGGATGAGTTTTTAAGAATAGGAATAACAATAGAATTCTCTTAAGAAGTAGGAAATTTGGAGGTGGAAAGAGATAAATTAACTAATTTTGAAAATGATAGGATAAAATATTGAGGAAAATTCTTTAAGTAAATTAGAAGGAAGTAGATCTAAAGAACAGGTTGTAGACGACATAGAATTAATAATTTTAGTTAGTTCTAAAAGATTTATTGGATTAAATACAGAAAAAGATTCAGTAGTAAGTTTAGTAAAGTTATGAGAAGAAAAATTAGAATTAGATGTTCTTAAAGAAGTAATTTTATTTACAAAAAAGTCATGAAACTGTTGAGCAGAAAAAGATGAGTGAAAAGATTTCTTATGAAGAAGTTTAGATAGAGCAGACCACCTATTTTTAGACGTTGAGGCAGATGTTATAGAATTTCTAAGAAAAGTAGAGTGTTTAGAGAATAGTAGATATTTATAATTAATCAATTCAGATTTATAGATAGAATAAAGAGAGTTTAATGGATTTAACCTATAGGCTTTCACCAGTTTTCTAACACTTTTCTTGGCTACTACACAAGCATAATCAAACCAAGGAGCCATACGAGAATAGAGCCTATAGGTAAAAGATTTAAGAGTAATATTGGATTGAGTAGTAATGTAAAAAGGAATAGAAAAAGAATAGAGAGATTCAGCAAGTGAGTAGAATTTGTTTAAAATAAAAAACTTCTTTGTTTGTTTTTAATATAATTGTTTATTAAAGAAACGTTAATTGAAATATTAGAAGACACGTTAGTTGACAAAAAGCGAAAAGCATACACGTGCAAGTTAGTCAAGTTAGCAATAATATAAGATTGTCTGAAACTATGGAAAGGTATAAATATATTGAAACATATATAATATACATATATATTATTTCAATACTTTCCCTTGTTTCAAAACATTTTATGACATTAGTCCCATATGTCCACACAGGAGTTTCAGTCTGACTCTGTCCAGTGGCTTTGTCATCACATCAGCGACTTGTTGAAATTTGTGTGATATCAACCGTTCCATCTTGAATTTTTTCTCTAATAAAAAAGTTCTTCAAGTCAATGTGTTTTGTTCGCCGATGAAATTGTGGGTTCTGAGCTAATTTGACTGCAGCACTGTTGTCAACTTGCAAGATTGGCACATCTTTCAAATCAACCTGTAATGATTTGAATAATCTTTGAAGCCAAATTATTTCTTTGACAGCCTCTGTCGCAGCGATGATCTCAGCCTCTGTTGTAGATGTTGCAACTATGGCCTGTCGTTGACTAATCCATGATATTATGCCTCCTGCATATATCACTGCAATACCTGTGGTCGAACGTCCAGTCTTTCTATAGCCTCCAAAATCTGAATCACTGAAACACTGTAAAACTCCTTTTGTACTGTCTGATCTGTACACAATGCTCTGATCGATTGTTCCTGCTAAGTATCTAAGCACTCGTTTTGCTTTTATCATATCTCCTGGTGTTGGGTTCTCGAGGGAGCGTGATAAATATGTATATTATATATGTTTCAATATATTTATGACTTTCCATAGTTTCAGACAATCTTATATTATTGCTAACTTGACTAACTTGCACGTGTATGTTCTTTTCGCTTTTTGTCGACTAACGTGTCTTCTAATATTTCAATTAACGTTTCTTTAATAAACAATTATATTAAAAACAAACAAAGAAGTTTTTTTATTTTAAACAGTGTTCCATTTGCAAGTGATATTTGCGCTGTGGGTTGTGGCGTTGGCATCTACAGTGTTGGCACTGTTGTTGTTGTTGTTATTGTTGATGCTGTTGTTGTTGTTGATTTTGTTGTTGGTGTTGTTGATGTTGTTGTTAGGGTTGTCACTATTGATGATGTTCCAATTGCAACTGATATTTGCGCTGTGGCTGTGGCATTGGTATCTACGGTGTTGGCACTGTTGTTGTTGCTGTTATTGTTGATGTTGTTGTTGATGTTGTTGTTGATGTTGTTGTTAAGGTTGTCACTATTGGTATGATTGTTGTTTACATCATCAATATTGTTGGTGATAACATTGTTATAATTATTGCTGTTGTCGTAATTGTTGTTGTTATAATTATAATGATTGTTGTTTTTATTTAGTAGTCTATTTGAAGGTAGAATGTTGCTAGACTGTACTTGAATGTTCATGAAGGGATTTTTGTTTTGTATGAAAATTGATTCAGCTATTTTCAGGTTTGGGATGTTGTTATTGCAATAAACTATTTGCGTGTTATTTAACATTTGTCGTGTTAAAGTGATGTTATGCTGTTGTTGATAATGTTCTTTGCCAAAACAGCAGTCAGCCTAGCTATGACACAATTATTGAATAAATATGATTAATATGATTATGCAAAATTGCGTTCTGTTGAATCGATTATAAAAAAGTTAATAAATGTTAAATGGGCAACAATTTTTAACGAATATATATATATATATATATATATATATATAGACATTTAGACATTAAAATCAACGGTACAAAATATTTAACCTAAAGTATAATTGACCAAGTGCACTTAATCACAAACGCAGTGATCAAAAAAAAACTTGAACATTAAAATCAATGGTGTAAGACAAAGTTTAAAATACAAAATGAAAGAAAAAGGAACCTAAACATTAAAACCAAAGGTGTAAGATACGTGTAAAAAATTCAAAAAAAGAACCTAAACACAATAGTATAATATACGAGCCCATGGTTAAAAACAACAGTCATAAAAACTATTATTTTACCCCTGCTCGCTACTTAATGTTTATGGGTCCGATCTATGTTTATGGCAATATTTTCTAAAATACAGAAAGCATAAAATTTTTGCAACAATAAACAAATATTTTGCTTAATATATTGTTTATCATTTGGATTGCCGAAAATTTCTACAATTTTAGAACTAATGCTATCAATAAAAAATTGTTTTTCTCTGTCAATGAGTCCAAACGTTTCAATACATAGTGGTGTAAATATTTTGTATTATCATTCAATTTTTATATTTGTTATTTTTTAAATTAGCAGCTTTTATTGCGGCGGATCCGGGAAATTGTTACATCCCACGATAAACAACGACCACCGGACCATGGGACGAGTGTATAACCATCTGGTCTGTTGTTACTGTTGGAAATTACGCCTGCAGGTTCTTTAATGGTGGGTATGTTGGCTTTTTGAAAAAGTCTACTTAGATAGCCATTCATAGCTGATGGACGTGCCTGTCTGCCAGAACCCAATCTACATGACAGACCATGATGACCCAACGCGGCAACATCAAATCCACATAAACATTTATACCCCGACACAATCGTTAAACCGAGTCTCAAACACAGGCTTGCTCTGATGGATGCGTTGTCCAGCCTTGTGCCACATGCTAAAAACTGCCCTTATCCAAGCTGAACCAAGTTCACTTTTTACAGCCATCAATCTTGCCTTATCCTGGGGGCGATATATTCAGCTCCTCCAGTCGAGACATCGATTTAATCCTGAAAGGTTCGTTCCATATTTTTGTGAGCACACATTCATGCTGTGTACGCTGCCGTATATAGAACACCAGTGGTTAAACTGCCCGAGTCCATCCTTTATCGTCGAAAAAATTATTAAAAATTGATTGGAGTTCATTGTTGAATAAATTCGAAATATCTTTAGGTGGGTTTGGCAAAGTCCTAAGAAAATAAGAGAGTCTTGGTTTAAAAGCTGCTTGAGAGATAAGAAAAAGAGCATCATGTTTATTAATTTTTGTCATCATCGACATAATATATTTAAACTCTTCAAACTTTTTAGACCAAAAATTGTTATGGCAATAACCTTTAAAAATGATGACACCCAAAAATTCAAGGTTGAATGTTTCAATTTTATTAATATTATGAAAACCAAGCTGACCAAGTAGTTAGTTCACATTTCTTTATATAAAGTTTCAACCCGTAGTGATTGCAATTGTTATTGATAAATTCTAAGTCATCAGATAAGTTTTTAATACTTCCTCCCAAAACCACATCGTCCAAATATGCTACAACAAATCTTGAACGGAAAGATTTGATTAGAGGGCCAATTGCTAATGCTCAGGAGGACAAACACCATTTAGCAAAAGGTTTATGAAATAAGTTCGGTGGTTTCGGTTTTGCAATGCGTCAAATCTCTTAGATGCTGGGGGGTTAGGCCGTCTCTTCCACCGGAAGTTCCCTTTGGAAACTGTCTTAGACACAGCATTAGTTGCTGAGCAGTGACGGTTTTTTTCTGGACTGAGTTTCCTGGCAGCCGGGGGATTGGGGTGCGTTTTTTAAAGCATTGAGAGTATCGTCAGAGTTCAAAGCCATAGTGTCCGTTGAAGACAAAATTTTCATAGCATTTCAAATATTACCGTTTTCAATTTTGCTTTTGACCATGGCACAAATTTTTGGTTGACGATCTCCTCTCCTTTCACCCTTTTAAACAGGTTTCATGGCTTTTACCAACTCCTCCAATGGGCCACTAGAAAAAGCATCGAGCCTACTGTTGATTTGGACGTTGATGTTACGACCTCTTCCTTCTCGGGAAACTTTATAAAGCACCATCTTTAGAAGGAATAACAATTTAAACCATGCCGTGGATTCAGATGGGTGGTCACATATATTTTTCAGTATATTGATCAAAACTTGACCAAACTTACCGCGTGAATAGTTTGATGACATTTTTAAAAAGGATTCGACAAATGAATCATACCTTTCGCTTACAGCAGTCCTTGTTGTTTTCGTTCCAAAACCCGCCAACACTATAGTATAATAGTCTAATAGTGTAAGACATATTAGCAAACGACGCTAAAAATCAACAGTAAAAAATGATATACATGAAGATTAATGTAATAAAATAAAATAAGCACGAAACGATTATGTATAATAAAAAAAAGCAAATGCAGAACACAAAATGCAGGAGACAGACCACACGTATAAGTCGAAAGAAATTTCCACACACGCAACCAACCAAATGTACTCCAAGACACACGCGACTTTAGCTTTATTCTCACCCTATCCTAGACATATAAGATAATTTTTTAATTTATACTTAAAAGGTCTGTAATGAGGCATTCCCTAATGTATAATGGTAGGTTATTCCATTTCAAGACTCCATAAAAACAAAAATTTCTGTCTGTTAAAGAATTTAAACATAATTTTGGTTTAAAAAAAAATCTGTGGAGGATTTGGATTAATTTATTGGTTTGAGATTCTTTTACAAAAGATTCACGAATGTGCCTGTCTACGATTTGATTATTATTGTTTAAAAATTTATGGATAAAACAACACGATTTAAAACAGTTTAATTCACATATAGATAAAATTTCTAATTTATTAAATATATCGTTATTTATATTTTTTTCTAAAAGAAATGTATTTAAAAGCTCTTTTTTGTAATATATATATATATATTGCAAATAAGTTTTTTAGGTGTTTCCCCAAATAAGATTTCCGTAATATAGATGTGAATAGATAAAAGCATAATAAAGAGATAACAAAAAATTGTCTGTTAGCTGGTTTTTAACCCTGTTAATTATTCCTATATTTCTGTTTAGTTTTATTAACATTGAATCAATATGTTTCCTGAAAGTCATTTTAGAATCAATGATCATTCCAAGCAATTCAAACTCATCCACCCTTTCAATCAAACTGTCACTAATTCTAAGTGAAATTTCGTTTGGATTGACATTTTTTTTGCTAAAAATTATATATTTGGTTTTTTTATATTTATACTAATTTTATTAAAAATCGCCCAGTTATTAATATTATGAAGATCAGTATTAGTATTCAATTCTAAATCTGATATTTGATGTTATCATGGTTGCATAATTCGCATATATGGTGATATTAGAATGACGAGTAGTATTAACAATATCATTAATAAAAATAATAAATAAATCTGGGCCTAATATACTACTCTGTGGAACCCCACTCACTATTTGTTTCAGCGCTAAATAAGATCCCATTATACTAACATATTGAAACCTTGATGACAAGTAGGTTGCAAAACATTCTAAAGCAATTCCTCTGACCCATACACCTCCAGCTTTGTCAACAAAATATCATGTGGGGCTGAGTCAAAAGCTTTCGCAAAATCCAAAAAACAGCAGAGACAGACAAACCAAAAACAATCTCATTCAAAACCCTCACAACGGCATCTTCTGTGGAATGTTTCTTAAGAAAACCAAATTGATTCTTATCATCCAAGAAAGATTCTAGTCTCACCTCAATAATCTTTTCGAGAACTTTTGATATTGAACTAAGAATGCTAATTGGTCTATAATTTTCAACATTATATACTGAGCTAGATTTATGGATTGCCTCCTATTTTTATTCATTAAATTATTAACAAGCTTCCATTTTCCCCTCATATTAACATCTGAATTATTTAAAATATTGTTACAGTAATTTGTCTTTGTTGTTTTAATTAGATTATTTAAATTATTTCTAAATTTTTTATATTTTATTTCATGATTATAAGAAAAGTTTTTTTTCTATTTTCGAAATAAGCAATTTTTATGGCATATTATTTTCTTAATTTCACTTGTCATCCATGGCTGGGAAAATTTAAATTTGTTAATCTTACGAGAAATATATGGACAGAATTTTGTAAATAAATTTTCAAAAGTTGGCACAAAATTACTTAAGGCCATATGACAGTCTTTTTCGTCCAAGGTGTCTGACCAATCATGAGTATATAAAACAGCGTTGAGTTTTTTCAAATTCTTTTTATTAGTGTTATGGTAAAAGATATGGCTCTCACAGTCTCTGCCATCCAAGAAAGGAAAAGCTACAAATATAGGAAAGTGGTTTGATATATCTGATAAAAGTGTACCACTATGAAAAAAAATCCAGACCATTTGTAATAAAAACATCTATGATGGTGCTAGATGTTGCAGTTGTCCTGATTGGAATGTTGATATTAGGGTATATGGAACGGGATGACATTAGATTTAGAAACCGAAGACTTGCGGGTGTTTCAATGGATAAATCAATATTTTAATCACCCATTATACATACCAGTTTTAGTTTTTTCATAACATCATTTATTAAATTGGGCCAAAAATAAATTTGTATTTGTCGATGGTGGTCTATAGATGTTTATTAAAATGAGCTGCTTTGGTTATTAATCTCAATGGCGATTGATTCAAAAGTATCGTCATTAACATCCCTTAAAACAAAAATATCATTTTTAATACAGCAATCTATCGATTTATTAATAAAAATTACCGTGCCACCACCTATACCTCTCATTCTATTTTTGTTGATAGCCTTCGAATACAATTAACGAATCATTGCTGTCATTCAACCGAGTTTCTGACAAACAGATGACGTCAAAAAAATATCCGTCTCTTCGATTAATATTTTGGGTCTATCTAATTTATTGATAATACTATGACAATTTAAATTTAATATTTTAAAACAGGATTTCCGTTTTATTGATGGAATGTTAAATTTTAACATATTCGGAATATGTTGCTGACGATTATAAAAAAATGTTTTATAATTAAAAAAAAGTTATTTTCTGATGAATGGTCATTTAAAATGTCAAGCATGTATCGATCTATAAAAAAATTATTGCAATTTTTATTTAGATTTGGTGTAGTAGCCATTTAAATTGTCTTTAATGGATATCTTTTCAAGTTGCCTGCTTATTTCACTCACCATTTTTGTTGACGTTAGATGATTTGATTGATCATTGTTAGAGACTTCTATTGATGATGGGTTTTGTTCGTTAATTGGACAATTTGATTTGTCATTGGCGTCCCAAAGAGATTATTATTTTGTGACTTATTGGTTTGTGAATCTGACTGATTAAAAATCCAGTCTCTAAGGACTGTACCCTCTGGCCAAAGCATAGAGTCACCAGTAATTTTTAAATAATCGGTTTTCTTAATAATTATTTTAAATGACTTTGCTGAAACATTTTTAATGTTTCTATTAATTACGGAATATAATTTAATTGCTGATATTCCATTTTTTTTCCAGATAATTTGATTTCTGAACATCATCTACCTCTGGGCTTATTCTCCCAAGAAATACAACAAATTTCTCAACAGGCTTAGGTGCCGCCCTCAGTTCACAAACTTTATTTGTTCCATAAACAACCTTAACATCCTTTTGAAGAACACCGGGGTACAATGGACGGGCAGTATTATCGGGATTTAATTTTTTGCATTTTTAATAAATTTCCTATTGTGGTGCAGCGTAAACTCAGTTGAATTATGATTTTTTGTGTCTAAATTAACATTTTGTATGGTTTTAGCATTATTAGTTTCAGTGAAGTTTTTCATATTCCCAATTGCCTTCAATCGATTTTTTTGTTTATTGCCCTCCACTATGGTGTTTAGGCTAGTGTCTATGTTATTTTCTAAAGAGCCTATAATATCAATATTTTTACTGGTATACGGTTAATAACTTTCTCTAGCTTTTCTATTTGTTTGTTTTGCTCATTCACTATATCTTTCATTAACATTTCAATGCTTTTACTTTTGTTATCGTTATCTTCTTTCATTTCGTTTAATTTATCATTTATTATTTTAATTTTATCAAACAAAGCCTCATAAAAACCTGAATTCGTGACACAAACACAGGTTTCACAGCACCAAAAAAACCTTCAATTGCATCTATCTCCTTGTAGACAGCATCAGTAATGCCAATATATTTGAAATAGCAACATTAGCTACAGACCTTGCATGCCAACAATTTTTTTGCTGCCGCCAATTTATTACAGTGCATACATTTCTTTTTTGCCGCCTTCTCTGGCATTTCCTCTTAAAAGAGGGAAAGAAGGAGAGAAAGAGAAAAAAAAGAAAAAAATTAATAAAGAAAAAATTGTATCACAACAGCAGTAACCTAAATGCAAAATTGAGACTGACTATATAATATAAGCACGTATGTATTGTCAACTGCAACACAGAAAAAGCCGAGGTAAAAAAACTATACAGTACAGAAAATGAGGAGACCTGTGCAATCTATTGATACGTCTTCTCAAAAAAATAATATACTTCTTTTGTTGATTGGCAACAGACATAGAATGCATACAGTGAGATAATTTAAACTATCCTTTATAGTTTATTTGAATTTGTCAACTAATTAGAAAAATATGGATAAATTTGAAATAAATTCAAAAGTTCCACTGTAAAAGAAAATGAAATAAACCTTTGAAAACCTCTCAATATTTGCAGCCAAATAATCCAAAAAATTTTGAAAAATAACCAATTTTTTAAGAAATATTAAGTAAAAAGCATGGAACATATGAAAAAACGTCTAATCAGCAGCAATGAATGTATGTAAGTCCATTAATTTTTCAATTTCATTTTTTTTTTGAAGATTGTTAAGTTTCCTCATGTAATGACAATTGAGTCCATGCTTTTTTGTTTTATCATGCGTAAAATAAACAAAAATTAGGGTTTTGAACACGAAGGTAATGTTCGCGACGCTTTTAACCCAGCGACGATTAAGCATATGTAAAAGGCGGATTATGAAAAAACCGATTAAATAATAAATATTTAAAGGTTTAATGAAATGAAGAAAGGTTTATTATTGTTTTTTATTTGTTATTTATAACATTTTAACTTTATTCAGATTAAAAATTGCATAAAACAATAAAAAAATTTCATCATAAAATCGCTATATATTAATATACCAACGATAAGGAGAAAGTTAAAAAATCGCCAAAAATTTATTTATGTGTGCATCTGAAAAATATTTGCATCTTCTAATAGACAATTTTATTCCGTAAAATGCCATATATAACAAAACTTTCTTCCGTTTCGTGCACATTCTCAAAAATTTGATTGAACGCGTTACCCATACATTTCTATATTTGCGTCACCGGTAACCTTGGTACACCTCTTCTTCAACTGCACTACTTAATAGATGCACCGTGCAGTTGGTTTACATCCTGCAACTAACCTCTTTTCTTTCTAAGGCATTGTAGTTACATGTTATTATGCTCTGTAGGTTTTGTAAAGATTCATCGTTGCCTTTGGGACCATTTTCAGTTAACCCTAAAAAGCATTTATTCTTCCAGAATAAGTCAATCTGTGAATTTCAATTTTTTATTGTTATCACTATTTATTGTTCGATTGGTGAAATTATTTCTCTGCTTTAGGCTCCTGCAAGGTTGGCCAAACCAACCCTGTTCATTCAAACTAGACTGTAATTTAATAAAAATGTTATTTCGTATAAAGAATAATATGCATTGCACAGTAATTGAACTATAGTACTTTAACGCGTGAACATTTAAATTTAAATTTAAATGTTCATTTAAATTTACCAAAAAAAAATATGTTTTTCATTTTAGTTAAAAATTAACAAATACTAATGCAATTGCAGCTAAAAGTGAAATTTAAACATTTTAAATTGAAAAAAAGTTTGTGATGACCATGTAGATGACTATAATTGTGAATAGTACAGATTGACAAGCGTATAAATTTTAACTATATATACAAGGTAAAATATAATAAACTGTAGTGTTTTTGCGACAAATTAATATAGCATATTTATAAAATATAAGTTTTAGCTTTAATTTAAATGTATAAAAACACAAAAAAATATAATAATACGTAATAATAATAAAAAAAACGTATAGCACCAAAAAAGTGCAAACCCAAGCGATTGAATAAATAAATAAATATATATATATATATTTACCAAGTATTACTTGCCCACGAATTATGATATCTATATATGTGTGTGTGTGTGTGTGTGGTGTGTGCTGAAAATCATAATGTTATGTGTATGAATTGGTAATTGCACGCTACAGGTATCAATATTGCTAACAGATATAGTTATCGTAACATTTATTTTTGCGGCTTCGTACAATTTTTAGTTATAAAAAAACCTTGAGTAACTTTTCTCTGCCTATACCTTTCTCTATTTCTTGTTCCAAATTAACAGTAAAAATTTGTCTATTACGCTGAGCTTTTAACAATGGACTAATGCCTTCATTTGACTAATTTTGATTTGACGCAGAATCATAAAAATAAAACTATCGACAAGCAACGTCCTGGATTGTACGTCCTGTTTTACTTGCATCTTCCAATAGACAATTTTATTCCCAAAAATACCATATATAACAAAACCTTTTCTCGTTTCGTGCACATTCTCAATAATTCGATTGAACGCGTTAACCATACATTTCCAAATTTGCGACATCGGTAACGTAAAATGGTATTCAATAAAAACACCGCTCGCGTTAGCCATTTTCAGTCTTCGACAAAAGATGTTCACTCCTGCACTACAATGAAGTGCGAGTCGGTTTTTGCAGGAGACCTACCTATAGAGCTGCGTTAATTTTACTGGCTTAGTTAAACGAAACTAAAGCAGCTAAATTAAACTAATTTTTGAATGTAAAAAATGAGTTAAATTAAAAATTACCTAGAGAGCTGCCTGAAGCAGGCTCATTCAATTAAAAAAAGGAACCTACCTAGAGAGCTGCCTGAAGCAGGCCCATTCAATTAAAAAAAGGAACCTACCTAGAGAGCTGCCTGAAGCAGGCTCATTCAATTAAAATAAATAAAACTTACCTAGAGAGCTGCCTGAAGCAGGCTCATTCAATTAAAAAAAAGGAACCTACCTAGAGAGCTGCCTGAAGCAGGCTCATTCAATTAAAATAAATAAAACTTACCTAGAGAGCTGCCTGAAGCAAGCTCATTCAATTAAAAAAAAAGGAACCTACCTAGAGAGCTGCCTGAAGCAGGCTCATTCAATTAAAAAGAGGAACCTACCTAGAGAGCTGCCTGAAGCAGGCTCATTCAATTAAAAAAAGGAACCTACCTAGAGAGCTGCCTAAAGCAGGCTCATTCAATTGTCAATTATATTTGACCAAGTAGAGACCGACAAATATTACAATTATACAACACTTTAGTTCAATCACTGCATGTGACGAGGGTACATTTTCTATGAACCCAGCGGAAACAGTTTTGACACTGAATCCACAACTCATCAGCGCTTTCATTACAACAAAATAAACATTCATTTATCATGTTATCGGAATTAGCAATCACATCATCAAATATTTTTAATCTACATCTTATTGGATCAAATTCGTTTCCAATTGGTTTGCTTTTATCTAACGTGTCCATGACCATGTAGATGAAAATTCCACAGTTGTGGCCATCTATCTGCTTTGGCAGTTCATTAGGCGCTTCAAAGTCGAAATTTTCCCATGATTGTTTGTTAATTCTTTAGGACATTCGTTTAAATCTTTTTTCAAATTGTTTGATTTGCAAAATAGATGATCCAAGAGGGTTATAGAAAAATATTTTGTTTAGATTATTATCTACAGTTATTAAACAGTAATGATTGTTGTTGACGACAAGTGGGAAAAATATGTAATTAGCATTAAAAGAATATTAGAAGATGGGACTAGAACAAGTAAAATTTTGAAACATTACAGTAGTGGACAAGTCACAAGGTATATAGATTGAATTGGTAAACCAGTGAGACAAATAATCTAAAAGAACGCTACTTACCCATTTTTCTCCAATAACAGTCTGAAAATCCGAAAGCAACAACCTATCATTTCCTTTTTTTGCAACGTAACAATTTCTACTGACTATTTGTTCGTAATAGCATTTGTTGCTCGGAATGTTGGAATTTGTTATACAGATGTTGCTGTGGCCATTTGCACTTTGATCATTGCTGCAAATTATTGTGGGTATGTTAACGATAACTATGCTGTTGAAAAAACTTTTGAAAGGTTTACGTTTCCCCCAATAATTTTCCTCACATTCTTTTACCACTGTTTTTATTTTTCTTTTACGAGAAGCGGGTATTTGCAGTAGAATTTCTTTCGTACGCGCATCAACATGGTTTTTTAACAACTCCGCAAAACAACCTATTTTTAAATTTGTCGATCCATTTAGCAATTGGTGTTTAATAAACCTAAAACAATTTTCAACTTTGCTATTGCTCGTTCGTTCCCCGTTTTTATTCAAAAGAACTGTCCAAAGAGGCAAAATCGAAATATATTTTTTTAAAACAAGTTTCGCTAAAGTTTTATTACAATATTCGTTTGGCTCCGTCTGTTCATCGTTCACCAAACGCAATTGGTCGTTAACATGTTCAAGAATTTGTGAGCCTTTTCGATAAAATGGGCTACTTTCGTAAATTGTCTCCAATTCATTAACTTTATTATCGTCATCATCGTAAACGTGTTCAATTAGATCGTAATGACTTACTTCATTGATTGTTGATTCATGAAACTCATCAAAATGACTATTTAAAGATGGAGTTTTTTTTAACGAACATGTAATATGAAAGAATGAAGTAATTAAACTTATCATGCGTCTATAACTTTTGGCTTGCAGTATTACGCTTAAGGCATTTATATAAAATTTAACAACCTCTTTTGTACTAGAATTTTTTTTGACAAATCGAACTATGTTTTTAAAAAATTGCGCGCAGCAAAGCTTTATCATTATTTGATTTTTTGGGACACATTCGCTAATACACCATTTAAATGCCATTGCCAGGTAACCTCTCAAATCAACTCCAATCCAACCAGTTAAAACGGCATTTATCATTGCCATTGAGTGGTCTGTAACCACGTTCATAAAAATTGGCCAGGCGTTTACCTTTTTTATGACGTATTTTTTTAAATTTATCAAATGATAAGCAACTAAAGCTGTGTCATGGCGATCGCTTATAAAATCAAAAATTTGAGCGTAACCCGCATCAAGACCTACTACGGCGCTGTATATATATATAGTTTGTTTGCTATGAAGACGACGAACCACAGACCCCGTTGAATCTAAATGTATTGTTGGTAAGTCTATCTGACCTAATCTCAAAATAACTTCAATTTGGTTGTCGGAAAAAAAAGTGGCATAAAATGAAGCGGCTGAAACTGCTTGTATATAAATTTCATCCGTTTTTTGAAATTTTTGACGTTCTATTAGATCAATAACGTCATCTTTTGCCTTATCGCCTGCAGCCATAGCCTCACATTTCACATTTTTAAATACCCCCAACGAATGAATATTTTGTAGATTCCCCTGATTTATTAATGCAGCATTGGAGGATCTTATAAATTTTTCACGTAAAACAGACGGATGTTGCAATATTAACTGTTCATACAAATTTTTTCTACGTTGGCCTCTTAGTTGTCTTACTAATTTTCCATTATGGTTATAATTAGTAGACGATGTATAAATATCAATTTTGTTATGACTTATATTTACCTTAAATAATCTGCACATCTCAAATGCAAATTTGAGATAAATAATGTAACTCGAACGATTCTCGCGTTTACTATTTGTTATAGCAATGCAGGGCAAAATGGCATTTTCTACCGCGAAGCAGATACGCTCAGTTGATGTTGCATCTTTTTCGCGGAGGCCTTGGTACACCTCTTCTTCAACTGCGCTACTTAAAAGATGCACGGTGCAGTTGGCGTACGTCCTGCAGCTAACCTCATTTTCTTCTTCTTCCAGTTCATGTACCCCTTGGAAATTAGGAATAGATGATAAAAAATTACAAATATGCAGAAAGGGAATATTAAATTTGAGGCAATGTTTATTACAAATAAATTGACGTAGTACATACAAATTATAATGCATTATAAATGATATATCAATACTTCGTGCCGGCGAATTGTTTTCAACAATTGCAACACTTTCATCATGTGATGCCTCAGTGTTCTCTACCTGCTGCAAAAAACTTTGTATATTAATTATATTACCTTGCAGTATCTTTAAGATATCATCTCTGTTGCTCCGGACGATTGTCTGGTTATCAAAAAACGGGGATATGGTACAAAAATTTGTAGCAAATAACTTGTTTAAAAAAAGAAAAAAATGCCGCGAATTAAAACACGAGAATTGAAGCATTAACAATTCTTTCGAAAGTAACACTAGAGTTTAAACATGCAGAATAATTTTAAAAGTATTTTTTTTAATTTTATTCCGTTTCAAAACATAATCTGAAAAACATCTTAAATTTAAAAAAGTCCAAAAAGTACAACCACGGTATTCTATTCTGGTATTGCCATTTTGTGTTAATCAAATTATAAACTATACTACAAGCAAGAGCAGGAATGACGTTGTAACACATCAGATACAGGAAACTTAAAAACTGTGGTGCACTTAGGTTGTTTGCGAGATAATAACAAGGACCAAAAACTTCCATAATTAAGTCCAATACTTCTTTGCAGTTCCTGTTTAATTCACCAAGTTCATTAAAATTAATTTATAAATCAAAGTATAACACAATTTTAAAATATTCGATAATATACTGTACAATTTTTAAATTGTATTATAATGTCAACAAAATAATATATAGAATCTTATACTATGCACCTGCGTCTCAAACCGTTATTTTCGTTACCAATCGACAGAGATTTAATAATAATAACGGTAAAAAAAATCTCCTATCGTTATAAAACGATACGAAAAATCTCGTGTCCTTTAATAACAATACCAGAAATCTCCTATCATTATTTAAACAAGACATTTTTAGGAAAGTCTATCATATCGAAATAAAAAATAAAAGACACAATTTTCGTCTCGTACCATTATTTCAATGTGTGGAAATGGTAAAAGTGCACATTGTAAAAAAATAAAGTATTATAAAATATTAAAACTTATTTAATTTTTTCCAATTGAATGACTTTGGTTTAATAAAGACTCTAAAAATATCGTATCTTTATTAAAACGAGACATTCTTCAAAAAGTCTCGTATCAAATAAAAAATACGAACAAAACAAACTTTTCTTTAATTTTTCAATTGAATGGCTGTTTTCTGGGCGAAATGATTGGGCGGCGTGATGGTCTAATGGTTAAGGTCGCCTGGTGCTGTTTCGCAGTAACTGGGTTCGAATGTGACAAAAATATCCCCGCGTATCACATGCTTCGTGTGTGATGCGTCGTTTAGCACGATGTTCATTTACGATGTTTTGCGCTCTGTTGAATCCTCTGAACTTTGGAAGAGTGTAATTGACCTTTAACTTTTTTCTGTTTTAATACAGTACATTTTGAAAAGCGGAGTTGGCGGGAAAACAACTAAGGGCAGACTGTAAATGTGCCAAGCGTCATTGTTATTGCGCGATGTTCAAATACTATCTTTCAAAAACTCAAAAATACTTGGGCACATGATTTTATTATGTCAATATATAATCTTCAATACCTCGTTATAATATTGTTATCGTATCGTTATGTATCGTTTTCAAAATAATAACAAGACGCAAATTCTTATGTAACAAAATTAATTTTTAATAATTCCGTGTATTTTCATTAAACGAAAATTTATTAGATCAAACTGTTCAGCCGATTTGACATGATTGAGTCCGCCTGTTAGATACACTTCATCGTAGCCGAAATCGTATTGTTTCCAAAAATTAACGAGACGCAGATGCTTATATAATAAAATTAAATTTTTAATTATTCCGTGTAATATTATTAAACGAAAATATATTAGTTCAAACTGTTCAGCCAATTTGACAATATTGGTTCCGCCTGTTAGATACACCAAAACCGTCGCAAACATTACCTTCGTAAGAAACTTGAAAATGATTTACGATCAACCGTTAGAAAAATTGAAATGTTAAATTGGAAGTTGGTGTGATTTTCTTCAATAATTGCATTTCTGACACTCTTAATCCAACATATATATATATATATAAATATACATACATATATATATATATTTATATAAATATATTTAAAAAATATATTGCACTGATGATGACTTTACGTCGAAATAGATCTATATGCATAACTTTAATAATAATATAAAAAAAAAAAAAATAAACGATTATAAAAATGGGATCTTGCTTGATTAATTTTAACAATTAAAATCATAAACGATTATAAAATGAATTTCAACATTTTGAATAGACTTAATTGTAAAGAACTAGTTCAAAATATTAGAAAATCAACCATAAAACTTGTTAATGCTGAATCGTCGGTGGATTTTTTGAACAACTGTATAGAACTTGGTCTTCTTCCTAATATATATATATATAAATATATATATATATATATATATATATATATATATATGCAAATATCATTAAATACTTTTGCAGGTTTTTCGTTAATCAATTTTTAGTAACACAACTCGAAGCTGTGTTAATTCGTACTCATTAATTTTGTGTGTCATTCTGATTCTAGGCTTACAACGTTTTTTCGGCAAATAGCCCTCTTAAGAGCCTAGTATTGCGAAATATCATTAATTAAATTATAATTTAAGTATTAACACAATTTTAAAAAAAGTATAATTTACAAAAAAAGAAATGAAGCAATGAATTGTAAAAATATAAAATAAATATACAGTAATAACAAATGTTTAGTGGCGGGAAGATAATAAAAGTTGAAGGTTGGTATAAAAGTGAATGTAAATATTAAAATTTTATTATTGAAATTAATAAATAATTAGGATAAGTAAAAAATTAAAACAAAAATTAAAATTCTGTTATTGAAATAAGTAATATAATAAAATAAAACAGTTTAGCAGTTATTGATTAAAAATTAAAAATCAAAACCAAAATTAAAATTACGCAATAAAAATTGAAATAAACAGTTAGCAGTTATTAAATTTAGCAGTTATTAATTAAGGTAGCAAGTGACGTGATGACTTTGAATTTACGACGTGAAGTTAATAGTTGTGTATTATCTGGTCGAAAACTAGAAAGACGTAGAACGATATTCATATCGCTTGGGCACTGGGACGTCTGCTGATTTGTTTTCGACTGCAGTAGCAGGTGTCGGTTCACGATATTGAGAAAATAATTGAAGAGTATGGTCGAAACTATTATATTATTTGTTTAATGTTTTTTTAGTGTTTGTTGATGCATAGAAGGTTTGACATAAACTTTTGTTATCAACTGTTCATCTTTTTTTCTTCAATTAAGCAGTCGAGGAACACAAGTCGTTTTTCAGTACTTAATTCTATTGTGAATTTTTTTAGATGTGAGTTAATTTGAAGGAAGAAATGTAACTCTATTTACAGATCACAAACCATTATGCGCTGCCTACAAAAAGAAAACACCATTAAAGTCAGACGTTCAAAAACGATATCTTTCAATAATATCCGAATACATTGCAGACGTCATTTACATCCGCGGTGAAGATCCGCGATTTACATCCGCGGTCAAGCAAGGAAATGAAAACCTATTCAAGTCCATTCAGATATTTACTCACATGCATTGACAGAACAACTGGTTGGATAAAAGCAGCGCCAATGACAGAAATATCAGCTTCAACAGTTGCTACAACTTTCTTGAACATTTGGATCGCTCGATTCGGTGTCTCTCTTTATGTTGTAACAGACCGAGGTACACAATTTGAGAGCGAATTATTTCACGAACTATCGAAAATAATTAGATTTTACCGTCTGCGCACAACCAGTTATCATCCACAAGCCAACGGAAAAATAGAACGTCAACATCGTACCTTGAAAACAGCAATTAGTTGTTGTAAACAAAACTGGTTAGATGCATTAGCTGTCGTTTTTTTAGGACTTAGAAACATACCAGATGAAAATGGAATATCTCCAGCAATAGCAGTAACAGGAACCAACTTATTATTACCAAGTCGATTTTTATTCCCAGATTCAAATGAAGATATAACATCTAGTCAAATCAAACAACTAGCAAAAGAAATGTTTAAACTTAATGACTACCTAACAACTAACAATCAACATCACTCTACCCCAAAAGCTTACGTACCAAATGACCTTTCAAACAGTAGTCACGTATGGTTAAGAATAGATCGAGTACGTCGTCCACTGGAAGCACCATATACAGGTCCTTTCAAAGTGATTGAACGTAACGAAAAATACTTTAAAATTGAATTGTTACCAGGAAATTTTCAAAATGTGTCAATTGATCGATTAAAGCCAGCTTGTTTATCATTACCTCCAACAACTAAAACCAGAATAAACAACGAGAATAGTTCGACAACGAACAACAAACTTTCTACAACAGATTCAACAAAACCAGCAACATCAGACACAAAATCTACTGAAACACCAGAAACAGCAACAACAACATCAGGCGCAACAACAACACAAAAAACAAGACCGACATCAACCAAATCCGAACCAACAACCCAACACTCCAGAAAAGGTAGGCGAATAACATTCAACAAACGAAATGAATATTTTTATTTTTAAACGGCTCCGCCTTTTGTGAGGGAGTATTGTAGGGATCAAACATTCATTTATAAACTATCTCACATATAAATTATTATTAAAAATTATTGCAATTTCAATGGTACTTAATTTATGTTAATTTTTATGTCTTTGCTTCTCTCTCGATTTCTCCACTTTTTCCTGAGAGCTTGTAAACGAAACGGTTCGAGATTCACGTGGGAATAAAGATAATATTTTATTACGCCTGAATTGTGTTTGTTTTATTTATTTTAACTCACAACAAAGTGTCTTGTTAGTAGCATAAGTTTGTACTAACAAACTTTTCTTTCTCTAGTCAACTATATGCTAATGATTCTTATATTTATTTATACCTGATTCTAAAACTCTTGATGTTTCTCACAAGTTTCATAGTCTAGGCTTTATCTTTGATTTTATTATGTCTCTTTCTTCTCAGATTAATAGTGTTGCTAGAAATTCTTACTTTCATCTACGTAGAATAAAAAACTTTTGCCTTTTTATGATGATGCTACTCTTTTCCTTCTTGTTACTTTGTTAGTCTTATCTAGGATTGATTATTGTAACTCACTCTACTATGGTCTTCCTGATTCTACACTCTAACCTTCAAGTAAAGCTTTCAACTCTGCTGCTCGTCTAGTTGCTCGCGCCCTTTTCTTTTCTCATATATCTCCATATCTTGTTCTCTTGCACTGGCTACCTATAAAATATAGAATAATTTTTAAAATTTGCACATTTATGTATAAGTTTTAATTAAATTATTTCCTAAGTACTTATTAGATATATTAATTGAACCTAAACGCCCCGGTTTACGGTCGTCTTCATGTTCTCGCTTTTTCTTAACTCGTGTTAAACACGCTTTTGCTAAATATGTTTTTGCCTTTTTGGCTCTTTTTTCTGGAACTCTCTACCTACTTCTCTGACTACTTTTCCATCACTTACGAAGTTCAGAGCGAATCTCAAGACCCATCTGTTTGTAAAATTCATTGAGGAGCGCTGTTGAACATCGCGGAAATAGCCCTTTACAAGCTAATTGATTGATCATCGATCGATTGAATGATTGATTGATTGATTGATAAACCTAGAATGACGCACATAATTATTAAGTACAAATTAACGCAGCTTCGGTTTGTTGAAAATTTTACTAAAAAAATTGATTAATGCAAAATGGGCAAATGCATTTAACGATATTTGCATAACCGCAAGTATAATTAAATTGTGCTAATTATTTATTATCCTAACAATTGTTGACTTTGGATTGTAAACCATAGAGGATTGTAAAAAGATATATCTTTTGATTACAAAAATCTACCGTAGAGGCTATATATTATATAAGGTACTGCGGGAGAGAGATTTCAATCGAGGTTAGGAGTCGCAAATATGATTTATGTAATTACTTTGATTTGTTTAGTGTTTCCACTACTGTTGGCATTCAAATAAAATGTTAACAAATTTAGCGTTTGATGCAGTTGTATTAATCTATCGGAAATCTTTAATCTGCGGAATCATTTAAGTTATCACAATGGAGTCTGCAGCAATGAACGTCAAAGTTTTAAAACAATAGATATAAATATGAGATTGAGTTGTTTTTGGTCACGCTGATCTGTTGCTTGTTATCAGATATCAGAAAATTGTATATTTATTGTATTCGTACAGTAGAATTTAGTGATTGAGTTAGTTTTTTGGTAAATAAATTTGAATAAGTAATTTTGATTACAAAGTTATGTTAAATAAGATTAATTTTTAGCTCTAAAATCTAATTTTAATAAATATTTGCATATAAATTTATTTTATAAAGCTGACTTTTTTTGCTTATCACTCATTTTTTGGTCGACTTTTTATGTAAAACGCTGTTTTTTTGTAAAAAAAAGAATTATACTGACTTTATTTTATAAACATATTGTGATGTTTTATTTAATATAAATTTTATTCAACACAAGTGCGCATTACGATATCTCCGTTTATATTTTATTATTGTCCAAAGATACTGAATATATATAGATACAAACGTCACATCTCCCCTTTTAAAAGTTCAATTTTATTGTTTTTATTTAATACACATAGGGAGTTTTGATGAACGACTACTCCGTGTCCTCAGGATGGATTCTTGGGAAGACTGTATGGTGTCACCTGTTGGACTGTTGCACTGAGGGTGAATTCCAACCTTTGTGGTTGTGTTGTTTCTAATGGTGGAAAATGATCTGTGCTATCATCCACTGGTGGTGCGCATATAGGTGGATCTTCTTTAGTGTAGATGAGATCTCTTCGGTTCCGTCTTAAAGTTAAACCATTCTCTGTGTCAACAATGTATGATCTTGAAGCTTGATGTTTAAAACGAACAATTTCACGATTCCATGATTCATTGTGATTCATACGTACCACATCTCCTTTGTGTAAACTTGGAAGAGGTTTCGATTTACGATCATAATACTTTTTTGTTGTTGCTGTTTGTAAACTATATTATCTCTTGCATCTACGACTTTTGGAAATTGTAGAAAATTTAGTTTGCTGCATGATGGCAGCTCTATTATTGTTGTTGGGGCATTGCTATTAATGATATAAAATTCTAGAAACGTTTTCTTACCTTTAATTATTGTTTCAACAAATGATGATCCTAGAGGCTGAAGTTTTCCACTGCCATAAGGTTTAAGAACTGTGTTGGTCTTTGTTAGCTTTGGTCTTTTAGGAAGTTGTTCAAAAACTGTTTTTGACATGACGTTGACTTCAGCACCTGTGTCTAATTTGCATCTGACTTTCATGCCATTTAGATATAGTTCTTTCCACCAACAATTTTCTTGATTTGCAGTGCAACTATGTATGGCTAATTTAACAATGACGAAGCTGTTTATATCTTCCTCAACTGCACAAATTGATGATCTAGATGATGGCGATGCTAAACGTGTATGGTTGTCTGTAGATTTTTTAAAACTTTTATTTCTTCCTTTGTTTGACAAGTTGGGGGTTTTACACATCTTACCAAAATGGTTTTGTTTTAAACATCTGTAACATTGTTTTCCAAATGCTGGACATTGTTTTATAGGATGAATTGTGCCGCATCTTCCACAGCCATGTTTGTTCATTTTGTCATTATTTTGGTCTTTTTTTTTGCCAAACCTCACAGAGTTTATTGTTGCTAGTAACTCGACACTTTTTATGGTTTTTAAATGTTCTTGACTTGAGTAACCTCAGCAGTTTTGCATAACTGAAGTGCCTTTGTGAGAGACACTTCTGGTTCTCTCAACAATCTTTCCTGAAGAAGTGCATCTGCACAACCCAAAACTACTCTCACGAATCAATGACTCTTCCTGTTCACCAAATTCACATGATTTGGCTCGGAGATATAGCGTGGTTACAAATGAATTTACTGGCTCATTTGTGGCTTGTGAGGTTTTTCAAAACTGGTACCTTTCAAAAACAACGTTTTTACGTGACGAGCAATACTCTTCAAATTTCTCTTTTACTGCAATTATTCTATCCTTGTCCTCTGGCCGGTCAAAAGTGAATGTGTTGAAATGTGAAGTCCCTCATCACCAATCCAACTCAGAAACATCGCAACTTGTACCTTTTCTGGAAGCTGGTCCGATCGAGAAGCAAGAAGAAATAGCTCAAATCTCTGTATCCATACTTTCCAGCTTCCATCAACATTGCCTTGATGGAACTTCAACGCCGGAGGCGGTTCAAAACCTTTAAAAACGTCATTATTTTATTGTTAAAACTTATACTATCGTTTAAACGTTTATTTGTACTATATTTAAACGATTGTCGACTGCGCCATGTGATGTTTTATATGTTTAATTTAATATAAATTCAATTCAACACAAGTGTGCGTTACGATATCTCCGTTTATATTTTATTATAGTCCAAAGATACTGAATATATATAAATACAAATGTCACACATATTGCTCACGATAGGGTGCATGGTTTTCCGGTTTTCTAAATTCGCCTCTAAGTTGACTGATTCTAAGTCCACCACCACATTAATTGATTTTTTGGTTTAGTAGTGATTGTAAGGTAAAATTATTATGCAAAAGTTTAAAAACTTTTCTTGGAGTCGGAATTCTTGAGTCGGAAATTTTTAACTGGAGTTGGAATTTTTGAGGGGCCGGAGTTGGATGTTTTTTATTCAAATCCCACGCTTTAATTTTTTGTTACAAAATTAATCTAGTTATGTTATTTTTTTTATATATTATATATATATTTCTTTATGAAATAAAATTAACTAAACTAAACCAAGTTTGGCCATCCATAAAATTAAGAGATGATGTCGCCGTCATTGTTGTTTTGAATAGAACTGCGTCTGTTCCGTTTTTGTGTTGTAATGCTGTCGGCGCGTTTTCTAAAGTTTAGATTTGTTATAAACTGGAAAAAAGAGATTTTAATCAACATTTTGCAGGTCTGTTAAAATTACTGGCAAACGTTAAGTTTTATGTCCATCGCAGATAATTATGCTTTTTTTCATTAGCTTTTTTAGGCCTTACTTAGTTTGGTTTAGAGAGAGTCTAAAGTTAATTTAAATTAATTAATTAATTATTAAATTAATTTAAATCTAAATCTAATCTAAAGTTTAGATTAGTAGATTAGAAGTTCAAAAAACCTCATTAGTTTTTTAGTTAGACTTTCTTTAGAGAGGGCTATGTTAGTTTTTTTTCAACTTTTAATAATTTAAACATTGAATTAAATTTTTTTTTACAGCTATAGCATCATGCATAACACTAGAACAGCCGACTAATTAATAAATATACCTTATAACTGCCAAACAAAGTAGTTTGCTGTAGTTTGCATAACATAAATACTAAGTTTTTAATTTTTAAGTTATGCTTCTTTAAGGTTAAGAACTACATATTTTAATCATTAATTTATTTATTATGGTCAATTTAGTGACTTTGATTGGTCTCTAAGCTAAGTATTATGTTTGTCAAATTAGTAAAACCTTAGCAATCCATAAAATAATCTTAAACACCTTTTAATTTGACTCCGCCCTTAATTAATATTCGTGACCAAGAGAATTGTATTCTTTAAATTTAATCATTTTACGTAAAAATGATATTTTAATTGCATTGCAGAATTTGTATAGTGCCTCTTGTGAGTTGACTTCAGATATATCATTTTGATCTCATAAAAATGATATTTCAATAAAATATCATTATTTTTTATTTTAAAAAATGTTATAAACCTGTGAAAAATTTATAATTTCATTTGCACATTAAATTTACATAAAAAAATGAACATGGATGTAATATCGAATAATGAAAATAATTAATTGTAGAACAAAATAAAAAATAAAGTGTCATTATTTTAAACTGGGTAATAATGACTAATAAGTTCCAAAGCTTTCTGAAACTTTTTTACTATCTGCAATGGTACGCAACCACATAAATTCATCAAGGTATGATGATAAATGAGCATTGCATGTACCATTCATTCTTTAAAATTTTTGTTTGGCGCATTGCCACAAATTCTGGCTGCTGTTGTGCATTTTGCACACATCATGTCTGCTAGACAATGATATGTCCTTGTGGCTGCTAGCTCTTTTGCTCACTTAGCAGCATCTTTGGTGTTAGTAATTCTGGTTATTAGGTCAACCATTTTTATTCTTTGAGCTAAGGAGTAAACAGCCATTTTAACGTATATTAACAACAAATTTTTTGAATAAGATTTAAGCAGTAAGAAATAGAAATGCAACTAAAAAATGAAAATAGGAAAAGGAAAGGATAATTTTGTTTTTATATTAGTGTTAGAAACTGCACAGCCTAACTATTTTATTTCAATTTAATCTGTATTTTAATACATGACCTTAGATATATTTGGCATCATACTTAATGATTAACATTTTTTAAAGATAATTTTATTAGTTTTAAACTACTATTTAATATTTAAAACTTTTAAAAAATTTATTTAATAATAATGATTTCATTTCATTTTATTTTGCACATTCCAACAATTTATTTTAAAAAAACGAAATGCTTCCAATGATCAGGAATATTAATTTGAGACGGAGCCAAATTTGAAGGTCTTCATTATTATTCTATGCAAACAACTTATGAGTGGAGTGCTAAGGTTTTACTTCAAGTGTTATCAGCTTAAAAAACTTTGGTGGTAGGTACAATGCGAAATAAAAAAATTTTATTGAAAATCCTACTGAGAGGAATTATTTATTATTTTTTGAATGTGAATCAGATAATTTATTCATTAAAATTTCAATCTAAAAAATGTTCTCATGTCATCAATGCACAAAGGAAGTATGATTGATGAAAATAATAAAATAATGTCTGAAAGTATATCGTTTTGCAATCATAAGTTGGAGAAGATATGGTGGAATCAATAGCTAGGCAGATGATTTTTTAATTTGGAACTATTTTACTGGTTATGGTAGGAATAAATTTTTGAATTTTTTTATCAAGAAATAAGAACAGTTGTATACCCAGGTAAACATTTCTTTTTGAGCTTATAAAAGAACTCTGCTAGCAAAAAACAATACAATAATCTACAAATATTTCACTTCATAATAAAATTTTAGAAAAAAGATTATGTTGTCAAATGAAAAAAATTGTAAAGTCAATAAAACTGGCATTATGTTATAAATGTAAAAAGGCTGTTTGTGAAGTTTGTAGTGTAAATTTAAGTGGAGAATGCTGTTTCTAATAATAATGAAATAATTTTGTAATGAAAAATAACAATAATCATTACATATATTGTGTATTTATTTTTTAAATGTATTTTGTTTTTTTTTGGGTCATATGACCCATTTGGCTGTTATAACAAAAGACTGTGTTGTATTATAAATTTGTTATAATATATATTTGAAATATAGGAAACGTTATCTTTTTTATGATGTCTTTGGTGAAAAGCCTCCTGTTAAAAAAGACAAAAGAACCACAGTTAATTAGATCTGAAGTTTATGCCGCTTTTTCCAAAATGAAATCAAATAAAGCGTCAGGTCCAGGTGAGATAGTTGTTGAAGAAGTTAAATGCCTTGATTAATTTGGCATGAAAAAAATAACAGAAATTTTGAATGAGATTTATAACAACGGCGAAATTCCTGAAGTTCTATCCAAGTGAATATTTATTGCATTGCCTAAAATACCTATTGCAACGGAATGTGAACTACATCGAACAATCAGCTTGATGAGTCATCCTACAAAATTTCTCTTGAGAATTCTTATGATGAGATCACAAAGCAAAATCAGATCTGAAATTTCAAATGTCCAATGTGATTTTGTCGAGGATTGTGTCGAGAGTTGTCAAAAACCTCTATGGACCAAAGAGCAGCGATGATAAAAGTTGGTAACCAGATGACTAGCTTTGTCGAAATAAAGAAAGGTGTTAGGTAAGGCTGTGTATTGTCTTTAGATCTGTACAATCTTTATAGTTAGATCATAATGAGAAAAATAGATCTACCTGGAATACTTATTGGAGGCGTGAATATAAACAATGTAAGATAAGCTGATGATACAGCTCTTATAGCAGATTCAAATGGAAAAACTGTAAACAATTGTTTCCAAATTGGTTTTTGAAAATGAATGGAAAGGCTTGCAAATTAACAACAACAAAACAGAGTGTATAGTTATCAGTAAAAGTAAAACCGCCCCGATCTGCTTCATAATCATTAATGGTAAACAGGTAAAACAAGTTAACAGCTTCAATTATCTCTGAAATCTGATTACCTCAGGTTGTATATGTAATATGGATATCAAAAGAAGGATAGCTACTGCGAGATATGCATATTCTAAAATGAAAAACATCTTCACCAACAGTAAAATCAGAATATCAACAAAATTAAAACTGTTAGGATGTTACATTTTTCCTGTGCTAACTTACGGCTCTGAGTTCTGGACAATTTTTAAAGAAATGGAAAAAAAGATTAACGCTGCTGAGATGTGATTTAGAGAAGAATTATAAAAATTAGACCACTCATGCTTTGAATGAGGATGTATTCAAGCAGTCTGGTTATGAAAAGAGAGTTAAAGTTTTTAGGTCACATCATACAGAAGGAAAGAATAGAAAATCTAACAACTACTGAAAAGATTGTAGGGAAAAGAGATCACGGTTAGCAACGAACAACATTTGTGAAGTCCTTGTTTCACTTGTTGAATATCACCACATTTCAACTACTACAAAGTGATAATGATCGGGTTTTGTGGAAGGTGATGGTCGCCAATGTCCTGAAAGGATAAGGCATTAGAAAGAAAAATAAGAATAAGCTAATTAACCCGTTATGACTCTT